TGAATTAAAGAAAAAAAATGTTAAGGTAGACTAAATAAGTTAATAAAATAAAATGTCACATTCAAATCATAATAATTTTATTTTTTCTCTCATAAAAGTGGGTTGTTTGAGATGTTCTAAATAAGTATACTTTTTGACTTTTTATGAAATATGGGTTGGGTTTGAAGTGATGTGGTAGAGAGGTAATGTGACTTAAATAAGATGATGTGACTTAAATAGGATAGCGACTTTTTTATTTTTTGACTTTTTCAAAATATGCCAAACTAGACCTTAAAAAGTCAAAATATACTTTTTTTACCCTAAACTTAAAAGTCTTAACTTAAAAAAATTAATTAAAAAAGTTATAATCAAACAACAACGGGTGATTTGGGAACCAAGTAAAAAATTGCGTTTTGTAGCTTCAAAACGTAGCCAACAACTTGGTTTTTTGGGTAACAAACCATTTGGGAAGGTAGCAAAACGTAACATGTGAAATTACGTCAACTACCCTCAAGTTGCAAAATGAGCACATGGGTGAAATTGTAAATTTTTTAAATTGGGTGGGAGTATTTTGGTCATTTTAATGTGATAAATAAATACCAACAAAAAAAGTCAAAATTAATTTTTTATCAACTTCTCAAATCACTTTCTAAAAAAGCAAAAGAGCTTGATTAAAAGTAAAAAATCAATTTTTAACCATCTTCCTAAAACACCCTAAATGAATTTATAATGTTCATAATTTCTAAGTCTACCACTAATGAAAAATACTAAGAACCCTAAATATCTTACACAGTAGGTGTTGGGAAGTTGTTATTTTAGTAGGTTTTTTTAGTTTTTGATTATTTTAAGAAGTTAAATTTTTTGTGTTTAGGAAGATAGTTGGGTTTTTTGTAATTGGATGTGATGTTTGTGAAAGAAAATGTGAAATGATTATGGGTTTGATATGATATTTTGTCTGGATTTATTTATTTTTTTATTTTTTAACCAATTTTGTGCTTTAGTATTAAAAAAAGAAAAAAAAAACACTTCCCAAACACCACCACAATCTTGTTTGGGAAAGGTTAAAAATTAGTTTTTTAGGTTAAAATTTACAAAAAAATAAAATAGGTTAAAATAGTCAATAAGACAAAATATCACATCAAACTTATAATCATTTTACTTTTTTTTTTCTCACAAACATCACATCCAACTACAAAAAAATCTCGCAATCTTCACAAACACAAAATTTTAGCCTATTAAAATAATTAAAAACTAAAATAACTTATTAAAATAGCTAACTTCCCAAATAAGGCCATAGATGTAAGACTTATATAATATAAATTTCATATAAATTCTACACCTATATAAAATATTTAAAATTTCTAATTTTGCCCACTGCTTATTAGGGGTGCTTGGTGTGGGTTATTATTACCTAAAAGCTGATAATTAGAAAGCATTAAGCAGTAGCACCCCTTTCCCACCTTCTAAGGGGGTGTTTGATGTGGATTATAGGTGGTGATTGTAATTTGAGAATTTGTGCTAGACTGTTTGATGCAGTTTCTACTTATAATTTTTTAGGCAAAAATAATATACATAAATTGAGAAAAACTGATTATTTAAAAACTGGGAAATGAGGCTTTTGCTTACAACTTTTAGCTTGCAATAATCCATACAAAATACTCCCTAAATAATCAATTTTTTTCAACTTATTTAAACTCTTTTTACTTAAAAAACTATAAGTACCAAATTATCTAACATAAATTTCTAAATTAAAATAAATTATAATCACATTCTATAATCTTTCCCAAACACCCCCATTATAGACGAGGGATAGCATAAGAAAATTGTTTTAGGGCGCGAAATCAGTTTGCCCGAATTGGCTCGAAACCTAAAACGACGTCGTTTTGGGTTTCATTTTTTTTTTTTCCTTCTTTTTTTTTTCTTCCTTTTCTTTCTTTCTTTTCTTTTTCTTCCTTTGAACACAGATAGATGCGAGAGACAGATGCGAGAAGAAGACGAGAGGCGAGAGAGAGCAAGGAGAGAAGAGAAGAGAAGATGAAGAGAGAAGAAGGGGAGAAGGAGGAGAAAGAGAAGAAGACGGTAATGGCGGTTGATCGGAGCTGGAGTTGAATTTGAATCGGATCTGAATCAAAGCTAATTCAGATTCGATTTTTTTTTTTTTTTTTTTCAGCTGATTCAGATTCGATTTATTTATTTATTTATTTTTTTTGGACTGATGATCTGAATCTTTTTTTTTTTTTGATGATGATGATGAAGATGTTGTTGATGAATTTTTTTTTTTTTTTTGTGGATCTTGGTGAAGATGTTGACTGTTGATGAAGATGTTCCTCTTCTTCTTTCTCTTCTCTTCTTCTTCTTCTTCTTCTTCGTTTTGCTTCTGTGTTCACTTTTCATCTTTAACAGAGAAAATTTCAAAACAAAAGAAAAAAAAAAAATCTAAAATAACATCGTTTTAGATTCGGAACAAATTCAAATCTGAAAATTTGGAATCCTGTACCAGCTTTGATAACATAAAGCGCGAAAACAATCGGATAAACAACTAATAATAATAATAAGAAAAATGTTTGGGAGCACTAATTAGTGCTCCCACTAATTAGGTGGCAGTGGGTCTCGCCATTAATGTGATGTTCTGATCTTAGAGTTGTATTTTTTTTTTTATATTTTTTTTTTTTTTTACTTTTTTAATTCATTAGTGTTATTAGTGGTGATGTTTTTAATGGGATGAATCGTTGTTGTAATAATAAAAGAGATTTTCCTTTCAAATTTTTTTTACCTTCGCCCATCAAGTCAGTGTCATATCAGATTTTCATTAAAGAATTTGAATGCAGCCAGCTAGCAACTGGACCACATGGACACAAATTATTTATTTATTTTATTATTTCAACTAAAAACGAAATTTTTTTATGAAATGTCATCATTGCATGCAAAGATTTAAGTCATGAGATAATTGATTATCGGGCTTGCTCAACTGAATTTGATTTAACCCAACCATGGAAAGAAATTAATCACTGAAATATTAACGGAGCTCAATCACATATTATAGACAAACACAAATTCAAGCAAAGTATATGACAAAATCTCTAAAAAGAGTCGGATATAAAACAATGAATTTATCTTTTTAAGTTCGAACTTAGGTCATGTTTGTAGAAAAAAATACCTTCTCCGCTGAGTCACTATCCCAATGGTAATAATTTAGAAACCAAACTAAAACATTCTTGAAATGTTTGGTTTGTTTTATAGAAAAATTTTTGAGAAAAATTCTCTACAAACAAATTTTTAAGAGTAATCAAATCAAACAAATTTTTTCAAAAGAAATTTCAAAATTTTATTTGGTTACTTACTTTTCAAAATCTCTCTCTCTCTCTTATACACATAAAATCAATCAATTTTTTTAAAACTTTCTCCCAAAATAATTTTTTAAAATCATTTCTAAAAAAAAGGCAAACGAAACAAATTTTTGTACTTTTTATCTCAAAAATTACTCTACAAATACAAACCAAACACACCCTCTATCGTTCAAAAAAAACTAAGGATGTGTTTGGTAACGTTTACGTTTTCAGTTTATATTTGCAAATATTTTATAAACTGGTTTTTGTTTATTTTTAAAAAAACATAAACTACAGACGTGTTTGGTAATTGACAAAATGTTTAAAAAAATTTAAACATATAAAAAAGAGTGAGAAATGACAAGTGGTGGCAAGTGGCAGCGAAAGACGATGGTGGAAAGTGGTGACGGTGGGTGGTGGGTAGATGATGATGGTGGGTGGTAACGGGTGAGTGGTGGTGGTGGTTGGTGGGTGGGTGGGTGACGGTGGCAGGTGGTAGCGAGTGGGTGGTGGATGGTGGATGGTGGTGGCAGGTGGGTGGCGGATGGCGAGTGGTGGCGAGTGGGTGGTGGCGGGTAGGTGGTGATGGTGGGTGGGTGAGTGACGGTGGCGGGTGGTTGGTGGTAGTGAGTGGGTGGTGGTGATGGTGGTGGTGGTGGCAGGTGGGTGGCGATGGCGGGTGGTGGTTGGTGGTGGCAGGTAGGTGGTGGCAGGTGGTGGTGGGTGGTGGTGGCGGAAGACGGTGGTGGAAAATGGTGGCGGGTGGTGGCTAGTGTTGGGTGGTAATGTGTGGAGCTTAGTATAGCTTACTACAAGCCATTAGTTTACCTAGTTTTGGAATTTAAGCAACAATGAATTGAGAGAAGGAAACAAGTAGTATCAACATGTTGAATACAAGATATTGTAGCAAATATATCATATCATAGTTTTTTGATTTAATACAATCATGAATTGAGAAATTTAACAACGGGATCAAGGGTCCCACAAACTTTAATTGAACACAAGTAGCTGAAAAAACTTAAGCATCGGATCAAGTAATATCCAACTCGCCCCAGTTATCATGAGGGACACCCAAGGCCCCCCACACAGCTTTTGAGGCATCCACGATATTGTTTGCACATGGGGGTTGATAGTCATGGTCGCCATTGGCCCTGTTTGGTACAGCTTAATTTCAGCTTATTTCAGCTTTCAGCTTAATTTAAGCTATTTTGATGTGTTTGGTTTAGCTTATGGCTTATAGCTTATAGCTTTGTGGAAGTCAGAAAACAGCTTATTCTTTGAGTGGGGCAAGAGATGCTTTAAGAATAAACTGGAAATCAGCTTAAGCTGAAAGTTATAAGCTATAAGCTGTTTAGTTATAAGCTATAAGCACTTTCCCACAGCTCTACCAAACAGGACAATAAGGAGTGCAGTGTGTAAATTAACATAAAGTATTCTGCAAAAACGTGTAAATAGGGGTAAAAGATAAACACACTCACGTAGCGCACACGAACACACAAGCCCTCTTCTTCGACAATGGAAGAAGCCTTCTTCGATTCACAGCTCCTTCAATTCTCCGAGCTCTGAACCCACCCAATTGAATAAATCGATTATTTTTATACAATTAAACTCACAAAAGGTGTTCAATAATGGACGTCGATCCTCGACAGTACGAAAACATTGTAAGTGTTTTTGTTTTTTTGTTATCTGATTCTGCAAAAACGTGTAAATAGGGGTAAAAGATATACACACTCACGTAGCGCACACGAACACACAAACCCTCTTCTTCGACAATGGAAGAAGCCCTCTTCGATTCACAGCTCCTTCAATTCTCCGAGCTCTGAACCCACCCAATTGAATAAATCGATTATTTTTATACAATTAAACTCACAAAAGGTGTTCAATAATGGACGTCGATCCTCGACAGTACGAAAACATTGTAAGTGTTTTTGTTTTTTTGTTATCTGTTCATGATTGTATAAGAAGCCCTAGAAAGAATTGAATGGTTTGGTGATTTTGTTCTTCAATCAGATCGTTGATGTTGACTTTCTTGGGAACCCTAGTTTCTGTGTGTTTGCAAATCTGGGAAGTTGCAGAACGGGGTTGTATAGATAGTATCATAGTATTGGAACGTATGAATTCTTTCTCTGGGTGCCCCCAATTGATGGTCTGTAATAGTTGCATCTGTGGAAATTAGATTGGGTCAACGACTTTATTTTCTTTGTTTTTGTAGTCTATTTGGTGTTTTTACATATTGTTATGACTGATAAAAAAAATAAATGTTGGTTATACTGATTGATTAATTCTACACAAGTTGGAGATGGGTAGATGATTTGAAATAAAAAAGAAGAAAAAATTGACACCTTTATTTATGGATTCTTTGGATTGGAGGTGAACAAGAAGAGGTTTACATAGGTTTTGGGGCCTGAACACAGGAAGGGGACCAATTTGACATGCATAATGAAGTTTGTAGAACTAGAATAGACAAAAAGAAGAAGAAGATTGATTTACTCAAGATTGACGATTAACTTGCCTTGAATTTCTGATTATTAGATTGTTAGAAGGCAAAATGTTATAATTTTGAGATCTTGGCGATTGTATGTATGTAGTATCTCTCTCTGTCTGTTGAGGTTTTTCTAAGATGTCAGCGGGCCTTTCATATTTCTTTACTGTGTATAGGGAGAAATTAGTAGTCGTGCCATTAACTTGAACTTACTCGTGGAGGTTGGTTTGACATTTGGAAGGACATTGTACTGTCTGGTCAAGCATTTAATTGTAGTACATAATTAGGGATGCAGCCTGAAGAACCTGTTTTTATGATTAGGTATTGACATGGAGAAATGTTTATTAAGAAAATTGCTTTCTATTATTTTGCAAAATAGCAAACTGTTAGAGTCATCCTGCCAAAGTTAGAGATGGTGCTTGGTTATGGTAGCCTAGGAATGTAGGCTGCATTATGCATATCATGTTGCCCATAGCATCTCTCCTGCAATGATGGTTCATGGCTTACTTTCGAAAATTATTGATATTTTTTGTGCGATGGGCAGTTGATATACTTCTTGTAATTGGTCTTTCTTTCCTTCAATTTTGTTTTGGGTAACTTTCCTTCAATTTAACAACATTGATTTACAAATTGACAAATTTTTACTTGTCTTAGGAAACTGCCTTTATTTTTTTTGTCAGATTAATGTCTTTAAAATTTCTCTATTGCTTAATCTTTTAAAAATTATGTTACATGAATTTGGGTGCATGTGCATTTCCAAGTGGTTAGACTTTTTTAAGACTTTTAGGATATTGTGATATGTATCTAGAAGTTGGGTATGGGTACATGGACTTGTCATAATCACTTATATGTGTTGCATATTGTATAATATTTTTAGATAAGATAATGTAAATTATTTAGAAATGTTTAGATGGGTGGTTGGCTGCTCCGGACCTTTTCCCTCCCTCTAATGTTTCCTTCAGGTTTTTGCACCAGGATGTTTGATTATATGATTGTGTATATGCTATAGTTTCTGTAATTGAGCACCAAAGACAAAATTCCTCATTGATGTTGCTTTAGTCTGAAGTCTGTTCAATGTGCTCTATATTTAAATTCTAATAGTTTTTGACATTATGTGTTTGACAGGTTGTCAATGACAATGACATACACAACATTGTCCTATCGTATCTTGTGCACAATTGCTACAAAGAAACTGTGGAGTCATTCATTGCTTGTACTGGGATGAAGCAGCCGACCAATCATCTTGAGGATATGGAGAAAAGAAAACGTGGGTGATGTTATTTTTTCTTTTAATATATTGTTAGGAAAGTATGACTCTCAACTTCATTTGTTGCTCTTGGACCACGTAGCTCACTTGTGTTAATCTCTGAGGTTGCGCCTATTGGTGTCAAAGTCCAATTTGAGTTTGATTCATAAATTAAGTCATGACATGCTTTTGGTAATAGAAATAACCTCTCAAGATAGACAAAGGTCTAGATTTTAATTGATAAAAGAATGAAATTTCATTTGACCATGTGCTTACATAAGTGTGGGAGCCGAATAAGTAGAAGAGTCGGAAGATGCGTACTCCAGAAATTAGATACTATCCGGCTTCATGTTGCGTGACTAGGACGCCGAATACGTTAGGAAGGCCGAATAGACGGAGGTCAGTGGCTCCGAATGAATAAAAGGGGAATGGGATAAAAGTAGGCTCAGGCCCCGAGGCCCAAAAAGCAAGTATAAATACAAGAACCATAGATTTAGAAAGGTATGTAAAAAATCACTTGACAAAACTTAGTAAAGAAGCTACCCTGAGTATCTGAACTAACTTGTCCGTCGGAGTGCTAATTCCGGCACCCCTGACCGGAATGTTTGTATCTTTTCAGGTGACTAGTTGAGGATCACCAGCGTCTCCCAGGATCCGAAGAGTATTTCCGAACTACTTCTCCACAATTGGCGCCGTCTGTGGGAATACTCAAATACATCCATGGCAGCGTGACTGAAGATCCTCTGATAGCCACTGACGAGACCGCACAGAGAGGTGACCTCATTCCAGCGAACTCGCTTGGACCAAAAACCATCGCAGCAAGACTTGCCTCGGACCTCTGCTCATCTCCAAACCCAACGCAAAAGGCAATACAAGTGACCATGGCACAAGCTAGGCAAACCAAACAGAGGTTGGACAACATCATCGCTGAGAACAAACGCCTTCGTCGCGATCTAGCCTCGGAAATAGCAAAATCCAAACAAACAGTGCGCCAAGCTTCTGCGCGACCCCCGAGGGCAGATGATCAACGATCTCGGACCCGACAGCAAGAAATTGACGGCCGCCATGCTTCAACAGATCATCTTGAGGAGTTGGTAAAGGACGAACGTCTCCACCAATGCGTCCGAAGGAGTGTGGTCGAAACACCTGCCCATCCGAAGGATGCATTTCCGCTTGACACCGTCCACATGATATACAGCCTGTCAGCAGCCCCGGCCGTGCTTGCGATCCAATCACATCCAGGCCCCCAACAACAACTCACGCCAGCAAAGTGGCCCCGAACGCCAGCAAAGCGGCCCCGAGAAACGCCAAGTATCACCTTTGACGATTCTGATTTGATCGGTGTAACACTCCCTCACATCGATCCCTTGGTTGTTGAGCTGCGCGTAAACCGGTTCACCGTCGAACGCGTTCTTATCGACTAGGGCAGTACCTCGGAGGTTATGTATTATAAAACCTTCACCAAACTCGGATTCAGCGAGTCAGACCTGACTCCGTCTCCTTATCCACTATTCGGCTTCAATGCCACTCCAGAGTACCCATTGGGAAAGATTAGCTTACCCGTTCGAGCAGGCTCCAGAACGGTGGACGTGGAATTCTTGGTCGTCAGGCTGCCATCGCCCTACAATCTTATCATGGGGCGATCGTGGTTGCATACCTTGCAGGCCGTCCCAAGCACCTATCATCAAATGCTACGTTTTCCAACAGAACACGGCATTGAGCAAATCCGCGGATCCCAGAAACCGGCACAAGTATGTTATCTCCTTGCCGCCAGAATGCCAAAGGAACTGCAAGTAAACTCCATCGAGGTGCCGAATCGGGAGATCCTGGACGATGTTGGGTGGTATCCAAATGAGAAGGCCACGGAAGATTTAGATCGAGTTGACATTGATGGCAGTCCAGAAAAGTTCTTCATGATCGGCGCCTCTCTGAATCAGGCCGACAGGCAGCAGCTGATCACTTTCTTGCTCAACAACCTTGACGTTTTTGCGTGGACTCCGTACGAAATGTCGGGAATAGACCCGTCAGTTTCATAGCACCATCTGAATGTCGATCCGAAATGTAAGCCGATCATTCAAAAAGGCCGATGGTCAGCCGCGGAGCACACTGCCGCCGTTGTTGAGGAGGTAGACAGACTGCTTGACGCCGGGGCAATTACAGAAGTCACTTATCTTATGTGGCTCTCCAGCACAGTAGTGGTGAAGAAGAAAAATAGGACTTGGCGAGTGTGCGTCGACTTCACGGATCTGAACAAAGCTTGCCCCAAAGACTGTTTTCCTCTACCTAGAATCGACCAGCTCGTCGATGCGACGGCACGTCATCAACGCATGAGCTTCCTCGATGCTTACAGAGGCTATCATCAAATCGCTATGCATCCAGATGACCAGGACAAAACCGCCTTCCTCACCCCAAGAGGAACCTATTGCTACAAAGTTATGCCCTTTGGGCTGAAGAATGCAGGGGCAATCTGTAGACGTCCCCGAACGCCCCGGGAGGGTGAGTCCCGTTCTGTTCATTTGGGGTCCCTACAGCTCAGGACTCTCAAATTGTCACGGTTCTAAATCTGAACCAAAGAGTCCAAATCCGGCAAATCGTTTTGAGAAAACAGATTTTTGAAAGAAGTGCCGAACATGGACTGCTTTGCCAGATACAGAGTCGCCACCTAAATGTTTTATTTTGGGAAATTTAGGAAACCCTGACTCGTTGCCTAAGGCCACGTGTCCGTCATCACCAAAGTTGCCTCGGCTCGGGAACTTGGGTACGATTGGGGAAGGTCACTTCGTGAGTACTCCCGCTCAAAGATCGGCCTCTACTAACCATGATATCTATTTTTGAAAACATTATGTGTCCTTATTCCGGTTATTAGCTTAGATTACTATATGATGCGCACAGCATACAAGTATAGATTGGATCGCCTGAATTGGAACAAAACATTTCATGTTTGTTTGTTTGAAAATGGTTTGATGGTGCTACTCGCAAGTAGGCTAAGACATGGATTTGCCACCCTCGGGTGGGCTTAGAAAACATGATTTTGCCACTATCTAGTGGGCTTAAAAAAAACACACATTTGATGAATTGTTCCAATCCAAATAACCCAACCCTCACCCACAGGCATTCAGGCAGTTATATCACATAAGCAAATAGCCTCATGGTAAGCATGCTATTCATGGCAGCACTCACACGCATGCAAGGATGCTAAAGCATAAAACTCACCGAGTACTCCAAGCCAAAACAGAAACTTATTAGAAATCCATGTATGATCCTAATTATACAGAAATGCCTAATGCAACACATGCAAAATGCAACTATGGCAGGCTCGGCTATTCTAAGCATGGCATATGAGATGCAACAGCTAACAAGTATTCAACTTTGAAATTGAAATACAAATGCAGTTAGTATGATGCGCCGAGCCCGGTGAATGAAAAACAGATGAATGATGCAAATATGCTATCATACTGCATGCTAATTGAAATATGCCATAATCTAACCATCATAAGTGGGTAAATAAAAGGGAGAGACGTGGGGTTGGAAGACATACATCCCACACACGCACACTTATTACAATTTTGCCCTCGCTCGGAGGGTCCGAATAAATAATATACAGTCCCAAATAATTATAGTCCAAATATGTACAAAACCCTAATTAATTAACAAATTAACTAAGAAAAATAATAAACTGGCATGCAAGCCGGGGACTGCCTCGACTCTGATGAATGATGTATGTTTGGACTGCCTCGCGCGGAAATCCACTGGGATGCCCCAATTAGCCTCTGTTTTGCAGTTATTCTTGGAAAGCGCGCCAAGCTCCGGAAGGTTGCTAATTCTTGATTTGCTGCAACAGAGAGCAGGAAAGGGACATAGCAATGTATTTTCACAAATGTATGCATGCCTCGATCCTCGTGCCACCAATCACGCATTTCGATGCATGATGGCCGAGGAGTCGAATTGTGCAACTCAATATAGAATGAATGCACATGAAAAACACAACAGGGCCTAAACTCCATCATGGATAATCCGGAGTGTCGGCGACTAGGGAATTGAGACACGTTCCGCCACTCGGAGTACGAAACGTCCCTCGTTTCCCGTGCTCGGGCTAACTCCTATCCCGAACACAATGCAATATGCATGACATGCATGAATGCAACTAATATACAACCTGAAGCTTGGGTAACCAGCTTAGGGTATGATGAGATATCACCCCTTATTTATAAATGAAGATTTAGGGTTTACAAAGAAGACAATTACAAGATGATCCCTGAGTGCGTAAAAATGATTACAGATCCTAGAGACTTTCGGCTAATATAATATGCTAAGTGCCTTTCGGTGATTATAATATGTCAACACTCCCCCTCAAGCTGGTGCGAAGATATCTTTCATGCCCAGCTTGCCTAATATGTCATGAAACGGTTTATTCCCAATTCCCTTGGTGAGAATGTCAGCAAGTTGTTCACCAGACTGAACAAAAGGAGTACAAATGGTACCACTAGTGAGTTTCTCTTTAATGAAGTGGCGATCAATCTCAACATGTTTTGTCCTGTCATGTTGAACGGGATTGTGAGCAATGTTGATGGCGGCCTTATTATCACAGTATAACCGCATGGAGTCCGTCTGAGCAATACCTAGATCACTCAACAATAATTTGATCCATAAAAGTTCACACACACCTTGTGCCATAGCTCTAAACTCAGCTTCTGCACTTGACCTGGCAACCACATTCTGTTTCTTACTCCTCCAAGTAACTAGGTTACCGCCAACAAATGTGCAATACCCTGAAGTTGATCTCCTATCAGTTACTGACCCAGCCCAGTCAGCATCTGTATAGGCTTCTACACGAAGATGATCATACTTTGAAAAATACAGACCCTTACCAGGAGCAGACTTCAAATACCTCAAGATTCTCATGACAGCCTCAAAGTGAATCTGATGAGGAGCATGCATAAACTGACTAACTACACTGACAGCAACAGCAATATCAGGACGGGAGTGAGATAGGTAAATGAGCTTACCCACTAAACGTTGAT